CTATCCTGCTTGTGTGAGCGTAAGGCGTTATAGCAGTGGACGTACGAATGCTTATGTCTACGGAGCTGATGTCGGAGACCCGCACGCAGCTCTCGCCCCGCCTTACTTCCGAATAGTCACGCTTTCTAATTCCGAGTGGCTTCAGGGTGCAATAAACGCGTGCATCTACACAGCGTCCGGCCCATCTTCCTCTCCGCCCAGAATTTTCAGACAACCAAGCCACTTTCGTAGTGCACTGAAAAAGTCCAGAAACTCAGGTTACTACCAGTCACGTCCCGGTGCGGATATGTCGCTTTTCTTTTTTGCAACTAGATTCCGGAACTCGCATGGCAACCCTTAGCTGTGTATTGACAACATTAGACCTTATGTAGGTAAAAGGAATGCAGTAGAGTTTGACATGATTCCTTCGCTGCTTTATTCAAGACCTATTTGAGATGGAACAGAGCATAAAGGCTCTATCTGAAATTCAGACATTCTCCACTTGGCGCTCCGATGGTCTTCAACACAGCTCGCCTTCAACATGTAGGCAGTCGTTCACTCTCAAGCTCCAAGTGAAAATTCCGGCCACCTATAGTCAATGACTTTTGTGATGCAGTGTGCTGAAACTTCAAGTGTTTGTGCACCGGCACGGTCAGGTTAAATTTTCCCAGGGATGTACTTTCACATTTTTATCGTTCATTTTGAAGCAGTGGCTGTCTCAGCGAATCAGTTCGCAGCATGCGCAAGGATATTTTCAGCGTGGAAAAGGTCAAGAGCCATCACTTACTGCCTTATACTGTAAAGTTGAAATGCTGTCAAAGGCATCAAAAGACACGCAACCGCGCCTATAATGCTAACCACGAAAGTGCAGTTGATTTATTATTTGAACTTTTGCAAAATATACAGTATGGCTCCAAAGTCGTGCAGCACGCCGAAATTTGCGAAAGATTGATATTAACTCACTAATCAGCATTGAGTAAGGTTGTAATACTGATTACCATGTAGCCCATTCTCAAGTCATTTCAGTCACAAGAGGATGTTAGCTTTTTAACAAGCTTCTTCCTGACCGCTAATGAAAAGTCCGTACTGTAAAAAATGGCTATTTAAGTAGTACGCATTTTAATCATTGATTTTGACTGCGTTTATAAATTAAAATATAAAATTAAAATAGCATATATATTCTTTTCTGTACTCGTTTGGTAGTAAATTACGCCTTCTTTAAATTTTCAACTTAAGCCAAGAGTATCTTTCGGTTTTAAAAAAGTTTGTTAATTGCCGAATAATTCTGAAACCGACCGACTGCGCGCTGTGTACCTCATGTTTAAGGACTGAAATGGCTTGAGAATATGCTACACGATAATTAGAATTACAACCTTACCCAATGTCGATTAATGAGCGAGTAACAATCTTTTGCAAATGTCGGTATGTTGCACGAATTTGGAGCCGTACTGTATATATTGTGCCATTTTTCCTTTTATTAGACTGTTAGAAAGCCGAATGCATACAATTTGCATGTCAACTAGTTGTTTTAAAGCTGGATCGGTCAATACCTTCAAGGTGCCCCTTACCCGTCTGATATCGTGGAAAAAAGTAGACTCACTTAAATAATTTCCTATACACTTCCTCGTCCAGGGAACTGCTACCCAAAATTCCAATAGGAAAAAATACTAATCAGCCTCCTTAGTTGAAAAGAAACCCAAAGAGCCAAATGGGAGGACGTTTGAAAAATGTGTTTACAACCTGTCTAGGCACCACCGGAAGACTACTAAACCTCGTGCTCTTACCGCGCGTGCGCTTCAGAACTACTATCGTTCTTTCAAGAAAGCACGTTTTTGAGCGGGAGAAAGATTAATTCATACCGCTTCCTTTGTCGGCCAACTTTATTGTCAAACTGTTTTAATTCAGGAACAAGGGAAAGATGCAATGCAAGACCTTTCTTATCCCCAACTGAACCTCTCGTTAAGAGAATTATTTGATTATACTTCATTCTATTTTCCTCAGAAATTAATTTCTAAGTTTATAAATTCTGCAATGCATGTGGATTGTGTTGTATGCTTTTTAAATTACATTAATAAACGTATATGGGCAATGTATTATGAATGCAAATTACACACAATATCAAAATTTTCAAGCTTTTCATGCCCAGAAAATAACCCTTATTCAAGTACGAAATTAAAATAACACGTGATTTGGCAAGAATGTGGATAGTAAAGAAGAATTTTGTGGATTTTGCTATAAAAAATATATTTAAATTTAGAGGGGCATTGAAAAACAATGAGAGAAATGCACACTCCTTAAGTAATTACTTTTTTACTGAGTATAGTTTTTGCAGCCCTCATGAAAACCGGTATCCATCCGTGATTTAGATATATTTGGGAACTAGACTCCACGATAATTGTTATTATGGTCTTATTGGATTTTTTTTCGAACGGGAACCACATTTAATGAGATAGAAATCTTATATACATGCAAAAGCTGATGTCCCGGCT